ATGGCCTGAGTGTCTGGTAAAAGCCTTGCTGTGTCACAACCTGGTGGAAGGAAGCATATCTCTTTTTCTTAGAGAGCCACTAATGCCATCGTGGGGACCCTACCCCATGGCTTCAGGTAATCCTAATTATCTCCAAAGGCCTCGCCTCCAATATCACTAATATTTGACTTTGGGGATTAAGTTTCCAACAATGAACTCTGAGAGGACATGTTCAAACCATAGCACGTACAAAACCAGGCAAAGCCAATACAGTAAAATAAAATTGCAGCTCGAGCTCACCCATACATAGATGCAAAAACACTAAGCAAAATATCAGTGCAAAATCCATCCACTTCTTGAAAAGATGTGCATTGGTTTTATTCCGGAAACCCAAGGATGATTTCACATTTGAGAATCCATACATGTAAAGTACTTCCTTGATAGATTAAAGGAGAAAAACCATAGATAATTAATATAAAACAGAAATACCCTGGAAAATCAGGGCTAGAAGAAATTTTTCGAAGCATTAAAAGAACTCCAGTTGAAAGTCAGCCATAGGACCATTATGTGTGTGTATGCACTCGGCACATTTGTGTGTGCTCAGTAGCACAGTTTGTATCCTGCATGTCACTTGGAGCCCTGGCCAGTGCCTATGACAAAAAGTAGAAATAAGAAGTGTGAGAATTAGAAATAATAAACAGTACAGTATGACGTATGGATGATATGTCTACAGAGAAATAGAGCTTAATAAGATTCTTGGATTTCGGATAAATATACAAAAATCAATTGTTTTTCTCTATACTAGTAACAAGTGGAGGAGTACACCCAAGTTAACACTCAAAATACTAATGAAAACTATATGGTACCTATGAACAAATGTACCAAGATTTGTGCAAGATATATGACAGTATTTATGAAACTTTAATAGATAGCAATGGGAAGATTCTAGAAACTGAAGAGATTTATGTGTAGCCAGGAGATGCAAGATGGGACATATATTAGTTCCTCCCAGGTTCTCTAGGTAGAGCCAACGCAATTCTCATGAAAATCCCAATATTTAGATGATTTTGACAAGCTGATTCCAAAATTTGTACATCAGAGCAAAAAGCCAAAAATAGCAAAGGCATTCCTAAGGAAGAGGAGAAAAAAGATGGGTGCTTTTCCTACCACATGGCAAGAATGCTATAAAGCTACAATAATTGAGATCAAGACAGATTTTAATGTCAGCATCACTACTCTTGCACTTTGGGTCTATTAATTAAAAACAAGAAAAGGTTACTTGATATGGTACTGTGACATGGTGACAGTCAGCCTATAAACAGAAACTGCTACTAAGTAACTACTGGGTGGTAGTATATACACGGTGGAAACACTGGACAAAGGGACAATTCACATTCTGGGAAGGATGGAGTAGAAGAGTGAGAGATTTCACTATGCTTCTTAGAATGGCATGCAATATAAAACTGGCAAATCATTTATTTCTGGAATTTTCCATTTAATGTTTTCAGACTGCAGGTGACTTCAAGTAATTGAATCCATGGGAAGTGACCAGGGATATAAATTGACCAGTGCATTCAAAAAGAAATCCCAAAAGCAGATACACAGTTCAATGGAAATCAGATATGTGATTAAAAAGTGGCATGGTCCACCACTGTGGGTGGGGGGTGGACCACTTAAAGAGTGCCAGAACAGCTGGTCATCAGTGTGGGATACCTCACACTCACAGGAACGTCAGTTGTGAATGGAGTAGAGATTTAAACGTAGCTGGGTGTCATGGCGCATACATGTAGTCCCAGACACTCCTGATGCTGAGGTGGGAGGATTAAGACCAGCCTGAGCGACAGAGCCAGACCCCATCTCAACAACAAGCTTTAAATATTAAAGGTGGTAAGGTACCTATGAATGACTCTCCAGAAGATGTGGTAGAGTTTAGAAGCAACCTCATTGCCCCGAAAGTGAGAAATAATGCCTTAAGTCACTGCCTTCGGTTACATTAGAATAAGAATTTCTGTTCATTTCAAGACAGTTTGAAGTGGAAAGACCAGCTGCTGCTTGAGAGGAGATATTGGCAATACTTAGGGTAGGAGTTTAGAATCCAGAATAAGAAAGTAATAGTAAGGGTGAGAGTCAGCCTATTTGAAAAATGGACAAAAGATACATTGTTGAAGGGAAGGAAATGGTACACCTCCATCACTAAGTGATTAGATGAAGACCATATTTTACACCTGTAGCTTGGCAAAATCAAGATGTCTGACAGGTATTGACAAGGACACAGAGTAAAGGGGACAGTCCTGTGCAGCTGATGGGATATTAAAATGGGGATGACCTCTTTGGAAAACCAGTTTGAATTATTGTGTAAAGTTCACGACTTGGGTGCTGTTCCTCCACCCAGTCTATGACTTCACTCCGAGGCTCTCTACAGCATCATTTCAAACTGCAGGGGCCTAGCTCTAGTTGTTTGTTTGTTTGTTTTTTTAAAGGAAGCAGAACTGTGAATGGAGCACTTCCTTCATAGTCAGTATTGTTTAGATAGTGTTTCTAATATATATAAGCATGAGTTTGTACTGAGTTGCAGTGTAAAATGCTTTTCTTATGAGAATAAGCAAGAATTGAAAAGTATGTGTGCCCCAGCCAGCACACACGGAAATGTTTACAACTGTGTTATTTATAATAGCAATAGACAGAAAACAAACAAACACCAGATGTCTACAATACTTTACCTACACAATGGAATATTACACGACCTTAAAAATGACCTCTGGCTGTATAATTATATGGATGAAACTTAGAAACCATGTTGAACAAAGGAAATACCAGAAGACTGTAAACATGATGTCATAATTATAAAACTCAAAAAGCTATACACTAACCAATATCTTATTAGATGTATCAAATACATTTTTAAAGAAGAGCAATGTATATATATTCACACAATGGAATATTATTCAGCCACAAAAAGGAATAAGTAACAGGTGAACCTTGAAAACATGCTGAGTGAAAGCAAGACATAAAAGGGCCTCGTATTTTATGATTTTTATGTGAAATTTTCAGCATTGGTAGACCCATAGAGATTGAATGTAGATTATTGGTTGTCAGGCTGGGGGAAAGGCTAATGGAACTAGATAGTGCTGATTGTTGCATGACCTTGTGAATACACTAAAATCATTGAATTGTACAATTCAAAGTTGGTGAATTTCATGGTATGTGAAATATACATACATATTATTGGAGGGAAGGTGGTACTGGGGTTTGAACTTGGGGCCTCATGCTTGCTAGGTAGATGCTCCACCACTTGACCTATACCCCCAGCCCTTTTTGCTTTAGTTCTTTTTCAGATAGGATCCTGCACTTACGCCCAGGCTGACCTGAACCAAAATCCTCCTGTTTACTCCTGCACAGCTAGGATGACAGGCATGCACCTCCACACCGAGTTTTACTGGCTGGGTTGGGGTGTTGTGAAAGTTTTGCCTGAGCTGGTCTTGAGCAGCAATCCTCCTGACCTCTGCCTCCCGAGGAGCTAGGAAATATAGCTATATTTATGGAATCGTGGTAAGAGCAGTTAACGTGCGCTCTGTTCTTAGCACATTTCTAGCATATTAACTATGGACAGTGTTACCCAACTAACCTCTAGATCTTATTTTATCTTCCATAACTCAAATCTTACGTCTGGTGAATAGTAGCTTAAAGAAAACAGCAAAAGAATGATTCAGTCTGTACGTTCAGGAGACAGATTGCCTCTGGGGAGAGGCGGGGGAGGGATTGGAGGAAAACACAGGTACATGCAGCAGGCTTTTATCTTATTACTGTGCTTCATTATATGTGTGTGCTACATATATTTTATACATATAACATAGAAAGTAAACTTTGAAAGAGATACAAGTAAAATGGACAGTGTTACAAGCAGTGACCTTTTCATAAAGGTTTTCTGAATCCCCTTGTCTGGGTCTGATGTCCCGACCTCAGCAAGGCTCTAGATGTAGTTGTGCTGCCCCCTGGTGGCTAAGCGGTGAAGGGCAGTGGGGCTGCTTGCTCTGGGCTTGGAGAGTCATAGGTGACCATGGTCAGCGCAAGCATGGGCCTGGACACTAGACATATGCCCAGGGGTCAGACCTTGGCCAGCTTCACCCTGCGTGGAAAAGAGAAAACAGCCTTGAGCACTCTTGATTCCGTTCCTTTCCCTTCTCCTCTCTGGCTCTGTACCATCGCCCTTTAAGCCTGGGAGCGAGGAGTATAACTCCACTGAAATCTGTCCCCGAGTGGGACCTCTGGCCTTGCCTTCTGCCTCTGCCCAGATGGCCCATCTGCGGCCACCCACCTGGAGATCCAAATTCAGGTCCAGAGCAGAATGCTCAGCATCTTGGGAGAGAGAAGCCAGGTACCTACTCTCAGAAAAAGTCTCCAGGTTTTCCTTTGTTTAACCCAGTCACCTATTGGGAAAACAATGAATTAAAGTGTTTAGGGAGAGTTGACCGTGGCATTTCAAAGGTGAGGCACAGTGTGTCCGTTTACCAGTAAGCAGCAAGTCTCCCTCTCCACCCTCAGACTGGATTACAATGAGGGATGGTTTACCAGCCTCCTCTAATCTGATGTGAAGAAAAACTTCTGATCATGGGTGTGTTCAAGCCAGGATGCCCTTGTCTTAATGACCTAGAGATGGTGCAGTAGTGTGGCCTGGAGAGGATGCCTGGGAAATGATCTTTTAGGATTTTTTTGGCTTCAGCTCTGGGGCTCCATCCGTGCCCTGTGTCAGAGTTTTGCCCTGCAACATGGGTCCGTTGTAGTGCCTGCTAATGGTTTTTAGCCAGTTGTGTTAATTGAATCAACATGTGGAAAGCACTCTGCGTGTCCAATCAACGTCATTGGCTTCAGTGCAGGTGCTTTGACCTCTCCCCAGGTTGTGAGTGCTCAGCTGGGGATTTGACTTGCTTCAGGTTAGGCTGATGAAGACACGGCATGGAGATATGTGGAATTGGGAGTGCCCTGTCCAGGGAGTAACATCTTCCTCCCTCTCTCCCCAGACACCATGGAAACGGTGCTGATCTTTCTCTGCAGCCTGCTGGCCCCTGCCGTTCTGGCCAGTGGTAAGAGCTTCTAGGGTTTGGCTATTCCAAGATGGCAGCTGTAGCTCTTTCTGGTGGAAAGGTCTGCCCTTTGGGATGTTAGGAGCTCTCAGATTCTCCATATTTGGGCCTGTGCCCTTCCCTTTGATCAGCTGAGAAAATCCTGAAAAGTGACAACTATCCACAGACTCTACCTAATCCAGCCTGCCCAGCTGGGTCTGCTTTTAAGCCCTCCAAACCACCCAGACCCCTGTAGACTTTCCACTTGAATCTTGAGGGACCTTCACCTGTGTCTACTCCACAACGAGCCAGTTCTGTCCTTATGCCAATCATAAGTCTCTCCTTGATCTTGGTTTGCTTATCTGTCACAAGGGGTGATAGACCCTATCTTTTGGGGGTGATGCAACACTGAAAAGGAGCAGTGCCTGTGGGGTGTGCTGAGTACAGGACCTCACTGGGGCTCTGAGTTGTTTCTGTTCTCAGCTCTCAGGTTGACCCTGAGCCCACCAGGCCCATCTGCCCTTCTGTGCCTCTCCAGTACCTGTGAATGGGGTCCTGCTTCACAGGATCCCTTTGTGGGGACCGAGACTTGTGAGGCAGGCAAGATATCCCAGGATGCAGTTGGCTTCCTCTTGATCACGTTTGTTTTCTTTTGTAGCAGCTGAGCAGGAGAAAGAAAAGGACCCTTTTCATTATGGTGAGTGGCCACTGCACCAGGGTGCAAGGGATGGGAGAGTGGGATGCAGCCCCATCTGGAAAGGGACAGGCAAGCCCTCTTGGCCCTGACCCACTCCCATCTCTCACCTGATTCCTTTGGCAGACTACCAGACCCTGAGGATTGGGGGATTGGTGTTTGCGGTCGTCCTCTTCTCGGTTGGGATCCTCCTTATCCTAAGTGAGTTTCTGTGTTTCTTGTTCTCTGTGGCTGCTAAGTGGGTGGGGGCCTATGAAAGCCTTGCCTTGCATCTCTGGGGAGAGAAGAAGACTGTCTGACCTCCCTGTTATTTAGGAAGTGCTCTGTAACAGTGAGACACGGTCAAAGAATACAAATGGAAATGCAGAGATACAAAGGGCAGGCAGTGTGACCCTCCTGGTGCTCTGTCCCTGGGCAGTTACAGGAGAGAGGACACAGGCACTGTCCCCAGTGTGCTTCCCCTACATGAGCCTGGTCTGTATGGAGTCCTTGTAGGTACGTGATCAAGTGTGGTGTGGTGGCATGGCCACCCCAGCTGTCAAATGTGTTGCCTTGGCCTCGACCCCCAATCTAGGGTTGCTGCACGTGGTTGTGCAAGGGAACACTGCCCAGATCTAGGGGTGCCATCTACATAGTCCCTTAATCTGCATGGATTCAGGCAGCCCTGCTGTGGCCAGGCAAAGAGCGTGACCTTGGAGTCCTGCTGGAGTGTGACCTTGGATGGTTTCTTTGCCTTTCAGGTCGCAGGTGCAAGTGCAGTTTCAATCAGAAGCCCCGGTAAGGATGCCAGGGCCTCGGATCGGGGTGACACTAGGAGGGACACCCTCGTGTGAACCCAGGAGGCTTCTCCTGGATTCTTGTCTCAAAAGAGAATGAGAGTGATTTGGGGACGGGGAGTCAGAGAGGCATGGATTTGAGGATTGCAGACAAATTTGGGGCAAAGAAGAGGTCAGAGCTTTGAGGGCCAGTTCCAGAATCAAATGGGAACCAAGCTGAAGGGAGCAGAGGACCTTGTAGACTCTCCCAAGTCCAGGTCTCTTCTCCAGAATCCTAGCCAGTTTGAACCTCTTACCTGTTCACACGGCGGAGTAGAAACTTGGCCTCTCTTTCCAGCCAACCAAGTCACTCCAGTCATCCATCACAGCAGCCAAGGTGGCTCTGGACCTCAGAAGCCAAATTCTGTGGCAGGGCAACACCAAAGCCCCATGTGGCCCTCGGTCAGGCATGCAGTACTTAGTTCTCCCGGGCCAACACGGAAGGGTGACTGACAGTTCCCTCTGACTCTGTCCCCTCTGGTCCTGTCTTCTCCTTCCATGCCATGTGCCCCACAGTAGAGGACATGGAGCGGTGGGTCCCAGGTGGTCATGCCCCAGCATGGAGAGAGGTGCTGCTCTGTAGAACTCTGACTGGGCTGTGTGTCTCCCTCTTGCAGGGCTCCAGGGGACGAGGAAGCCCAGGTGGAGACCCTTATCACCGCCAATGGTAATTGGCCCTGACCACCTGCCCGGATGGAATGGGGGAGCAGGAGAGGGTCCTCACATGGCCCAGAGAGGGGATGTCACCAGGTGCCAGGCCTCCTTCAGACCCACCAGATCTGCCTCTGTAGTGCCAGGAGAGGGTGCTCCCAAGCTTCTGTGATGTTGCCCCTCGTCTGCATGAAATAGGCCACTATTAGCAACAGTCACCAACTACAGAGTGCCTGCTTTGTGTCAGGCACACACTCCATCCATTTCAAGTGTACTCTGCCCCACGAGGTCAGTATCACCACCTCTCTTTGACAACCAAGGAATCAAGAGCCCAAGTTCCTTTACCCAGCAAGCAGTGGGGTGAGGATTTGCACCACATCTTTGTGACTGAAAAATCCCACATGTTGGGCATAGGTGTGATTGCTGGGTGGGGTGGTCCCCTGGGCAAGGACTCCACACACAACATCTGTCTTGGCTTTCTTTCCAGCAGTGGAGCCCCAGAAGGCAGAGAACTGAAGTGCAGCCTCCAGTGAGAAGGTGAGATGCCCTGTGCCTGATCACTGTCCTGGTCGAGCCTGGGCAGGGGTGTCAGGCAGGAAGTATGGGTTGACTTTTCCTGTGGGCATGGCTTTTATTACGAGCACGCGCACGCGCGCGCACGCGCACACACACGCATCTGTCTGTCCTCAGCATTTGGAGGTACTATGCCAGTGTACGTTCCGTCACTCACCATAGGGGGCGCCAGACAGCACACAGTGACCGCTGTCCAGTCTCTGAAGGGTGTTACCCACGAACCCACCGGAGCCTGCCAGAAGAAAATAGGATGGGTGGGACTGAGCCCCATTTTGTACTGTGACCAGATAGTAGGTGACAGGCTGTGCCTTGAAGGCAGGTCTCTGTAGCTGTAGGTCAGTGTCCTCCCCCAGCTCCCTCTGTCCTTGCCTGTGTCCCTTTTGGCAGAACCTGAAATACACTAGGGTGAAAAAGCCAGTCTTCTGTCAGCTCACTTCTGCCCGCCCCCATCCAAATAAAGCATAGCAGACAAGTATGTAACTTTATCTTAAATTGTGAATGAAAAGAGATTTCTCTTTTTCCCTGGCTTTCACTGTGACCGTGGTGACACAGTGTATCTGTGTGGCATTTTAATTCCCTGCTAAGTGCTTGCATAGTCCCATGAGAGCCCCACAGGTGGGCAAAGCAGGGCCCATTACATCCACCTTGAGATGGGGCACTCAAATGCAGGTGACCCTGGAAGGTGGGAACAGGCATAGATTCCAGCCCTGGAGGCTGGCGTTCATACAGTTAGCTTGGCGTTCTGTCTGCATCATGCTGGCTGCAGGGCACACTGAGTATGGGATAGTGTGGGAGGCTTAAAGGCCGTAGCCTCCAGATGGAATGTCTTGTTTTCCAAATTAGGTCTTTGTCAAACACCTTTTTCTCCTAAGCCTCACGTCTATGAACCAGTAACGGGGGAACATGGGAAGAGATGTCACTCCGGGCATTTTATGAGCAAGGGTGCCAGGCTGAAGGCTGGGAGAGGAGAAGGTAAGGACACAGGAAAGGAACTGAGTTTTGTTTTAATTTCAGTTCTCTCCCTCCTCAGCTTCCGGAACCTGAGGCCAGCTGCTTGAACCCTTAGCTGCTGATGTTGAGGCTTAAGAAAGCCAGCCACTTCAGCAACAGATCTTTCCCCAGGAGAAGCCAACAACTTGTGTGTCCCCTGTGCCTCTCCCTGTCCCCACTTACCCCAGTCCTGTTCTTAATGACGCAGCTAACACCTGCCCCCTCCCACTGCAGCCTGCGGTCTGGTCCACCTCCTGTGTCGTATTTGTGTGTATGTGTCTGCTGACTGTGGTCTTCGTGGATAGTATTGTATTTGTGAACTGTGGACTCACTTTCTAGGGCAGGGGCCGAGCCATGTTGTCACCAGCTCCTCCTGCATCCCATGCCCTCCTGCTCCCCAGAGTCTGTTTTTCCCCTGAGAGACCAGTCCCTTGTCTGGATTTAGGGATGAGGGTAGAAGAAGTGCCTGGACAGGAGTCCCCAGCTGTCTTGGGACTAAGAAGGTTTGCATCTTCTTCATTGTTGCTCTTCATGGACTTTCTTCCATCTTTTCAGAAGAGCCTCGCTCTCCAAGTCTGTTCAGAGATCCCGTAGTAATTGGAGATGCGACGGAGGAGCTGGGAGCCCAGTATTGCCTTTAGGCAGGTCTAGCCCTTCCCTGGTCATTTTCCTCCTGGGGCTTCCACTGTGGACTCTGCCTCTGCCCTGGCCATTTGCGGAGCGCCCAGTAAGTCTAGTCTAGGACTCTGTGCTCCTGGGGAATGTGCCCCTCATATATCTTCTGAGCAATAACCCCATGGGCTCTGGAACCCTCCCACCTTCCCTGCTTCCAAAACTTCAGTTTGCAGCCCAGCTCGTCTGGACTCAGGCTCCCATCCCTGAACTTGGGTCTCTGGCAGGCAATGGCTGAGGGGGTTCCCCTTCCATTGGGGCCAGTATATGCACCTAAGCATCAGGGAGAGCAGAAGGGTCTTTGGTCAGGCAGCAGTGCCAGCACCTGCATCCTGTCTGTCAGTCAGTGGCCAGTGATGGAGTGATAGATAGGCGAGTAGTGGAAGAGCTGCAGGTCAGGGACCCAGCAGGGTTTGTGCAGTCCCCTGTGGAGCAACAGCCAGAAGTCGAAGGTCATAGAGTGGAAACTCAAACTAGATCCTGCCCTACCTGTCCTTTGTGTCCCGTGGAAACTAACCAAACCGAGCTGCCGTGACCAGGACTGCTGTTCTGTCTTGTGATCTATCCTCTTGACAACAAAAGACAAATAAAATGTCGTTGTTTCCTAGTGGCTCTGAGCTGCTTTCTTTTTTGTAACAGAGCTTGAGTAACTATCTGTAGGGCCAGGGGAACTTAAGAGCCAAAAGGAGCTGGTTCTTGGTCAGAGGGGGGAGGTGAAGGCTGGAGAGCCACCAAGGAGGTACACGGTTATTTCAGCTGCGTTCACAGGTGGCTCGTCCCAGACTCTGTATCTGCGCCTTTCTTCTCCCCTCCTCCAGTGTTAGTCCACCTGCTTCCCCTTCCTCCTCCCTCCTCCTTCCTCCCTCCTGCTGTTCTTCCTCCCCACCCCCTCCCCAGATCACCGGGCTCAGGCTTCATCCCACAGCAGGAACTATACATTATACACCATCTTGGAAGTGGAAAGGGGCATCACAGTGGCTTGACCAAGTGCTCACTGAACTGGAATAAAAGATCCTAACCTTTTGGTGGGGCATGGTGGCTCACATCTGTAATCTCAGCTACTTGGGAAGCAGAGCTCAGAAGGATTGAGATTTGAGGCCAGATCTGATCAAAAGTTAGGGAGATCCAAATAAACAAATTAAAAAGCTAGGTGTGGAGCTTGCTTGTCATCCCAGCTGTGTGGGAGGCATAGGTAAGAAGATTTCAGGCTGGGGGTGGGCTCAAGTGGTAGCAAACAGGAGATCCTAAGCTTAAACCCCACTATCACACACACACACACACACACAAAAGTCCTAATCATTCTGGTCGGGTATGAACCACTACTAAGCACTTAAAAAAGAGGGGCATGGGTGGCTACTTAGGTTATGCTCCAAGCCCTTACCCTGACATATTTCTCTCCACTTAGACACCCCCTCTTCTGGGAAGCCTTCCTGGATTCAGGTGGAAAAAGTCCCTTCTTTTCTGTGGTCCGGTCATGCTAGTAGAGCTTACTATTTTCCAGAAAGATCTCAGACTGATCTCAGAGGCCCTCCCAGTTCTCCCTCATCCCCCACTCCCATGAATTCAACTCCCAAGAGTCTTTTGCATGGAGCTGTTTGTGGTACTTAACACCACTGTAAAAATAGGCCAGTTTGCCTGCTGGGCCCCAGGTGCTGTGTCCTCACACTTCTCTGGTTTGTGTGTATATGTGTGTGTGAGGCGGGGGTTGTATGTGCTTTTTTGCAGGTTATGCATTAGAACTTGACAACTTGTTATTGAAAGAAAGGCAGAGGGCGAGGAGAACAGACAGCAGGCATGGGAGGGGATGCCAGACTGAAGCACACCCAAGGTCGCTGGGTGCTTTAGGGCTCTGCATGTCCCTGGATCAGGGGCTGGTGGGGGGTGGGGAAGGGCTCTCCAGCTCTATCTGGTTCACCCCACCTTGGCCCTGGCTGCTCTGCCTTGTCCAGGCCCAGAGAGAAGAAAGAGAGGTCACGTGTTGCCAGAGCCAGGGGAGGAGTTTTGGAAATACCTGTCTCCAGGCCATAAAGAGGAGGAATGGCCACCTCCTGCCATTAGTGTGATTCATGGCTGTCACAGCTGAGCTCCAGGGGGCAGAATCAGCCAGCTCAAGCCAACCACCTGCTGATTTCTGGAGCGGGGGGCCAGCCGCAGCCCCGTGGCTGGTTGCACAACAGTGAGCTCCTGCCAAGGAATGATGGCAGGCAGGTGATCTGTGCTCGGATGTCCTGAAGGACTCTGGGTGGTGGGTTCTCCGGAGATGTCCCTGCCTCTGAGCCTGTGCCCCTCTTCTCTCCAGATGCCCACCCTCAGTCAGTTTCCTTCTTGGACCCTGAAGTCCTTCTTCTGTAAAGTACGCTGGGCCCCTGTTATCTGTGTGACCCTGGGAAATCTGCTGATGGCCACAGTGTCCCTGACTATATAATGGAATTGTCAATATCTTCCTGTTACCTCCCTGGGTCAAGGTGATACAATGGACATTAAAAACACTTTGAAAATTCTACATGTAGGCATCACTACCCATGTCCTCATTGCCTCTTGATGTAGGTGTCCCTTTCTATCTGTTAGACCTGGGTTCAAGTCCTGACTTGTCCACATATCACATGCAGTTTTCACCCCCAGTAACATAGGGGTCACAGTTCTGGCTGAGATGTTGGGAGGAGTGAAGTGGACCTTCAGAACTCTCCAGAACTATGAAATGGACGGGATTGTTGTCAAGTGAGGAGACCCGGGCTCCAGGCTCAGTGAAGACAGAGACAGTGAACAGATACCATGATCTGAGTCCTCCAGAAGGCTGGGATAGACTTTGCAATATGTGCAGTAAATGAAAAGAATGGTCACAAAGCTACACGAGAGCCATTTTCATCACATGAGTGGAATCCAGAAGGCAGTGGAGGCAAGGGAAGAAGAGCAGGGGTGGGCTTGCTCTTGGAGGTCTTCTTGATCAGAGACAAGCAGGGGTGTGGTACTGGAGGGACAGGCCACAGCTGCAAAGGAAAGACTTCCGTTCCAAGTCAAGGCCAGGTGTGAGTAAGAAAAGTCAAGAATGCGGTTCTTTCCAGGGTGTTCGCTGTGGGGGAGGTGGATGGAATGGGTTTGCCCTTGTCACCAGCTGGTGACTTTGACTCTTATAGTACATTGCCCTTTGGCAGCTCTCAGGACCTCTGTGCCCCACAGCTTGGGCCATCTTGAAGGCAACACTTAAGAAATGGACCCTCCAGGGCCCACCTCCTTCTAGCCGGCCTTATAAGACCCCAGTGACCCAGCATCTGCAGCCACAGCAGGAGACAGGAGCCAGCACTCCTCAGGGTTCAGGACCTCTGGGCAGCACAGACAGGGCCTAGAAGGAACTGCCACCTTCCCTGCCAGTGGCCACATGTGCGTGCCATGCCTCTGAGCACGAGTCTGAGCCAGGAGTCAGGACCTTCTAGGGGCTTCTGGCTTCTGCCTCTTTGAAGCCCCTTTCTATCAGTGAGCTAACACCAGAAAGAAGTAATTTGGGAGCTTGGAGTTCAAGGCCACTGACTGTCCAAGAGGAGAGCCCCGCCTTGGGAGGGCTGTTGGCTGGTGCTTCCTTTGGGCCCCGGGAGACAAAGGCCAGCTGGATGTCCCAGCCTGTTTTCTCCTTGCCCCACCAACAGCAATGGCAACTCCGGGTTGTTGCCCTGACTTAAAAGTTGGGAGACAGAGGAAAGCCTGTTTGGAGGAGATGGGCGACAGGACTAGCTGCCCAGTTGGCACAGCAGTAATAGAAGGGACCCAAGTCTTTTGAGGTCTCTGGGTCTTAGACAGCACAGCTGAGTGCCCTGGGATTCACCCTGGAGCAATGAGGCCCAGGAGAGCTGAGGACTCTACCTGTCCTGTGACCTTTCTGGGACAGCAAAACGGTGTTTCTACCCCAGACGATTCCCCAAGCTCAGGCAAGCCTGGAAGAAGAGAGCTGAGGCCAGGTGTCAGCCAGGAGAGGTCACGTTGCTTAGGTTCGTCTGGGGAGACAGGAAAGTTGGGGATGGTGGTGGAGTTGGTGGAGGTCAGGGAGGGTCAGGGAGGTGGCTGGCAGGGACACAGGGCCTGAACCAAGTGAAGGACCACACTGAGCATCCTTGTCTCCAGCTCAGGGTGGGAAAATGATACTCCTGTTCACTAGGCCCCTGATTGGCCACACACTTCTTCCTACAGCACCTCTTCCTACAGCGATCCTGCAAGGTAGGTAAGGACACTAGAGAGGTGTCCTTCCCCAGGTGCACGCAGCTTGAAGGGAAGGGTTGGAGTAGCCCTATCCTTGGGGACCCTGCCGACACATGGAAGGGGTCACTTACCCCAGCTGCTCACATGGAAGCATGGATTAGAGATTAAAGGGGTCAGTGCCTCTCTAGAAGGAGCAGGATGTTCTAGAGAGGGGCTACCTGGCCCCAGTGCCAGCTAAGACCAGATGATGGCCTGGACGGGCTGAGGAAGGGCATGGAGGAAGTCTGAGGAAGACTTGGACTTGGATGTCAGTGAGGTGAGCCTGGCAGGACCTCTGTGACTCAACCAACATCCATCCTGGCTTCCAGAGCTAGGGAGCAGTGTGTGAGGGTGGGAGTGAGGGGGATAGGGCACAAGAGGAAGGAGCAAGAAGCCCCGAGAAGGACCCTGGAGTAGCTGTTGGCAAGGCAGGGGTGCTGAACCACCTGCCATCTCTCTGAGAGGTACACTAGGCCCAGTTACTTATTGTAGGCAGGTGATGACACCTGACAGCAGTGTGAGTTTCTACAGGAGCGCTCTGGAGGCTGGGTACTCAGGAAGAGAACTGCCTGTACAAAGGTGCTGAGGCGGGAGTGAGCTCTGGAGGTTAGAGGACCGTCCAGGGGATTAGTGTGGCTGGAGCAGAGAAATGATCAGGAAAACAAGTTCAGAGAGGTCACAGGGGTGAGATTAAGAAGGGTCTTTAGGAGCCCGTACTTCAGAAAGGACTTTGGCTTGTATTCTGAATGCTCAGAGTCGGTTTTGAGCAGAAGGGTGAGCCATTCTGTAAGGGAATGGATGGGGTGGCCTTGGAGGCCTTTTCAGCTAGCCTCCCACACAAGGTCTCTGCTTGGGACAGACACTCCTTCCTGTGCAGTTTGGGGTTGGGGAGGGAGCACAGAAGGGGTACATGGGGGCGGGGCGGGGTGGAGGTGGACACTCAGCTGAGCTCTCTGCTTTTCTAGAACACTGATAGAGTGCTTCCTTTTAAGCCCCTGTTAAACTCTGCGACGAGAGCTTCTCCAAGGGCTGGGTTTGGGGAATTTCTACTCAGTGGCTTTGGCTATCTGAATGTGCAGTTTTCCACTTGGGAACATGTGACAGGGCTACTGGGAAGGATTGCCCCAACCTCACAGGTGGCCAGGAAGGGCACAAGTAGCTTGAAATTGTGGCAGCCAGCTCAGGACCCCAGCACAGACTTCAGCCCACCTACAGAACCAGGTTAGGGGGCAGGTCTTCATTTCAGGGCATTTCAGAGCCCGGCAGCTCCCTAGGGACATCATAACCCCTCCCCTCAGGACAGGAGGTGTTGCTAGGGAAGGACAGAGCAGCCATCTGGTCAGAGTAACCAGACCTAGCATGCCCAGGCTCTGCGGCAGGGTGTCTGTGCTGGGGGAACCTGGGGGGATCCTGAGGTCCTGAGTGGGCCACACAGTCTCCTTGTGGTGGCCTTGCTCTGGGCCTGTCACAGTGGCCAGGGCACAGGGACTGTGTAAGCCAGGAGGTGGGCTGCCCTGCCCTGTCCCTGTGGGCTCTGGGTTCCACCCCTGCCCGGAGTGCAAAAGTACAGCCTTGGCTGCTCTCCTCCACCAGGCGGCCCTTGGAGGCCCCATCAGGTGCCCGTCTCACACTGAAGCTCTGAGGTGTGTTGGTGGATCTGACATCACAGCTGTGGTAGGTCCCTCGGGCTGTGAGGAGCCCTGTGAGGAAGGGCAGGGCACCATGGGAGAGGAGCCCCCACACCAGCTCCAGCAGAACAACACGGGAGCTGAGAACCACTCCCACCCAGGGCAGCTTCCGTGGGACTGCTGCCCATGAATCCAGGCTCAGGGGAGCTCCTAGTCACACGGTGGGGCCTTGAGGCAGACACGTCAGGGCCAAGGCCCAACTGGGCAGGAGGATGGAGATGCACTTCCCTCTGAGTACAGGCTCAGGGGACCCACAAATGTCCTTGAGTCTTAAAGTCACCAGCCCAAGGGGTAGGAGAGGGGAGCTAAAGTCCTGCAGGGCTTCCTGCCCTCCTGGCCACCTTGCCAGCGTGGGCCATGGCTTCCTTTGCTGCAGCCCACAGCTTCCCGTCTTAGGTGCCAGGTGGACGCCAGTCTCCCTCCCTCTCTCACGTGGGTCCCTTGCCCCAACCAGCCCAGGCAGGTGAGCAGCCCCTCCTCCCTGCCTTGTTTCTTTCTGTCTGCGGCTCAGCTCTGCTCAGTGTGGAGGGAGCACCCACTGTCCCCACCAGCACCTTGGCGCTCCTGCACCTCGAACACAGCCTGCAGCTCCTGCCATGGACAGGTGGTATCCGGGTGAGTTTCCCAAGTCCTGTCCGTCCCTGCTGCTCAGGCTGACACAGGTAGTCACTCCATTACATTCAAGTGCACCCAGAAGGGCCAGAAAAGCAGGCAGGGGAGGTAGAATGTCCGAACCAGGGCCTCTCAGGAGTCCTGGGTGGGCTGTGATGCATGCAGAGCACTTCCCAGCCTCTTCATCAGTCTGTCTGTCTATCCATCCAGTTTCGGGAACTCAGAAGCAGACTGCTAGCTCTATAAAACAAGGAGGGTGATGATAACTTTCTTTCCCCAGAGTCATGTGAAAACTTGGGAGTTCGTTTCTGCAAAGTGCTTGAACAGCACCTTGCTTCCTCCATGGCCCTATCCACCCATCTGTCTGTCTATCTATCTATCCATCCATCATCCATTTATTACATATCTATTTGTCTGTCTCTCTAATACCTACTTATCTATCTTTCATCCTATCTACTCTGTCTATATCATCTATCTGTGCATCCATCATCTACCTATTATGTATCTATCTGTCTATCTCTATTTCTAGCTAGCTAAGTTTCATTCCTTATTATTCTAGAAGACTCCCTGGTGGCTTGCGAGATAGAACCCTAGATGATACTGTACGGATACAGTTGTCTCGTGTGAAGAGCGACGACCACTTTAGCTCTGGGCCCGACTACCCTGCTCGCTGCTGCCACTCACTGTGAGTTCCAGGCCAGTCTTTTCTCCCCCCCTGGCCTCAGATTTTCTGCGCAGCCCAGTGGGCATCATGGCACGACCACCCCGGGAGTAGTTGTGAGACGCCCGCAATCAGCCTCGGTTTCATCAAGTGTAAGGTGGAATTTTGTGGATTAAATGGAACAGAGCATGTGGTCCCCCTGACTGCATTAGCTCTGTTGTCACATTTTTGTGAACACATGTCACTTGGCTCTGGAAGCAGAGCTAAATGGGTGTCACAGCCCTGGTCAGCAGGGCTAGGATATTCTCTCTCCCCATCTACCCACTTATGCTCATTTTCGCGAGAGGAGAGTTGGCCTTCCTGTGTCCAGCAGCTAACGTTAAATAAAAGGTTAAAGCTTATTATTTCTTAATTGACACAAAAATAACAGCAACAGCAACGACACTGTGTGCCAGGCCCCACGTGCTGTGCTCTTAACATGCACGTGGTGGGTGCTGTGCCCATGGTACAGATCTGAAGACGGAGGCATGAGAGGCAAGTAGGTTGACAGAGACCACATGATCAGCAAGTGGAGGAGCCAGGTGTGAACTCAAGTGCAGACCCCCTGCCTCTGCTGGGGAGGGGCAGTTGATTGATGGACTAGCTCCCCTTAGAAGGACTATACTGCTCCCAGTGGACCCTGACCACTGGCGTGGGCCGTTTGGCTACTGTTGGACATCAGTCTTTTCTGTAGACCAATTCAACTGACTAGACCTCCAAAAGGACCATGCAGAACTTGCGCAATCCTTGCCACAGGGGCCCCAAGGGGAAGGTCACAGTGGTGTGGAGCAGCCTGGGAAGTTTGGGGAAAGCACCTGACCTTGAAGCCAAAGACCCCACTGTCAGCCTCCTTGCTCCTCACTGGCTGTGTGACCTTGGGCCAGGCCCCCAGCCTCTCTGACTGAGATACCTCATCTGTAAGATAGAGAACAGAAGAACACAAAGCTTGGGTAGATACCAGCCAGAAGAGGCTCTGTAAGACGAAAGCCAAGTGCTATCTCCAGGAGGAGCCTGGGCCCTTCCTGAACCTGCCTACAGTGCACAGTGGACAGTTGTATGGGACAGTTGGAAAGTCGCTTCTCATGACTGATTGGGGTGGGGATAGGAAGAGAGATTAAGGGGGATGATGGAGGCTTTCTGACCGAGCACTGAGCAGCTAGACGCAGCCTGGATGAGGACCCAGAACAGGACCCTCCAGGCAGCAGAGCCACAGGGGGCTGAGCCTGATGTAGGCTCAGGTGTCCTCAGGAGCAGCAGTGGGAAGGGAGGTGGTCCAGGCTCCCCCAGCCAGGACCCCCTCAGGGACCCTTGGATGCCACTTGAGAACATCAGCTGCACAGTGATATCACAGAGGTTGGTGAGGTGGGTACCACTGGGGCAGGGGGCCCATAGGACCCCAACACTGACCCTTTGCCTCCATCCCACTGTCACAGACTCAGTTTCTGCAGCTGGTGGAAGAATGGCACTGCTGACCCATCCCTGGCCCTTCTGTCTGGAAATTTCCTTTGGGAGGGACTGGAAACCCTGCCAGCTCCTCCCTGCCCTGGCCTCCCTGAACCCCTCCTCTTGCCTCAGCGGGAGCCCCTCCATCCACACCATGGCTTTTCTTGTGACCAGGGTAAATATTACCCAGCACTGTTAATGTTTAATGCCGTCTCCTCATCCCTGGACACCCCATGCCAGACACTGTCCCTGAGCAGAGACAGCAGGAAGAGTGTGCTAGGGACAATCAATCCTAGAAGCCTGGGACAATGGCCGGGTTGTCGGCCGATGATGGTGAGTGTGTGTGTGTGGGGGAAGCTGGGGCTGGCTGTGCCCCAGCTGCCTTTGGGGGTGCGAACTAGACCCTGCTATTTCTTCTCCTACCTCCCTACCTTCCAGAGTGCCTAGCCCTCTTCCACCCACCTCTTTTAAGAAAATTTGCATTTCCAAAGAGGACTCTGCCTGAACCCCAAAGAAAAGTAGCTTGAATGGTAGAATCTGGGGCAGCAAAAGTATCTGCCCCGGACTCTCACACACCTGCCCTGGTTTACCTAGACTCTGAGCAAGAGGCAGATGGGTGCTGCCTGGGGAGGAGCAGTGCCCTGGTCAGTCTCCCTAGCTGGCTTTGGAGTAAGAGTGATCCAAGGTCAGGACACATTCCCAAAGAGTGTCCTGTGAGCTGGAAGGACACAGGCCTATAGCCCAACAGGGGCCTCTGCTGGCCGAGGTGGGGACTGAGCAGATCTAGAGGCGCTGGAGATGGGGCTTAAGGGAGGGGCAGCTTCCAGAGTTGCGAGGGGAGCCCTGGCTCGGGTCTAGCTGCTCTCACACTGACTCCCCTCGTGACCCTGAAAAGGACCTGAACCGTGTTGGGAAGACAGTGTTAAAGGTCTTCTGCTTGGGACAGGGGTCTGGGTCCCCTTGGCTTCTGGCCTTTCTGAGCAACTGGTACCTCAGACCCTGCAGGCACTGACCCCTGCTGTCCTGCTTTCTCCTGGCCACTGGGGACAAAGGTGCTAGCAAGGCCCTGAGGCCACGCACTGCCTGAGGCATAACTCAGGGCAGCCTGGGAATTTCTGACTTGCACATCCCCTTCAGGCCGGACACTGCACCCTGGTGCTGAGAGGGGCTCAAAGAAGGCAGCAAAGAGAGGCAGCTCGGGGTGGGGAGGGGCCCTGGAGCTGGCCAGGCCGCCTTCAACCATCCAAGGGCAAGTGCACTCTGCTCATGGGGATGGAGGGCAGAACAGTGACACCTGCTAGTGACAGGATGAGGGAAACCACAGGAAGCAGAGGCAAGCCAGAAGGATTTGACTGGAATGGTCTCCTTGCCTGTCATCTGAGAGGTGACATAGCACCCAGATTCTTAACGACCTCTTTCCTGGGTTCAAATCCCAGTTCTGCCCCTTACTTGCTGTGTGACTATGGGTGGCTTACTTACCTTCTCTGTGCCTCCATCCTCTTGTGGATTATACTGGAATGGTATTGGTGCCTCACGAGGTAAATGAGCTAATGTTCTCTTAACTTGGGCCTGGCATGAGCAAACGCTACTTATTAAGGTTTCTTAAATAAGTTTGCTTCCCCCAAGCGTGGTGCCATAGGAGGGCAGAGTCTAGGAACAAGTCAAGCCTGGTTCTGCTTCCAGTTACCACTGGGACTTTGGACAAGTCTCCAAGTGGGCCTCAGCTTCCTCCTTCTGTTCCATGAGCTTGAGGGCTTGTTTTTCTTTCACTCAGTTCACGGACACTCGCTAGATCTAGTGGTAGACGAGTCATGTAGAGAGAGGCCTCTGACTCTTGGCCCAAGGCCTCCCCTCACTGTGTCGTGAAGCAGGAAGGACGCTGCGAGGGCCTCCCCCAGCATGGACCCCAGTTTGGACTGTTGGTATTTGGCCCCAAGGTGACCGTATGAGGCAACCCAGGGCAGATGCCCCCACAGGCCTCCCCTTCCAGAGCCTCCCTTATCCAGCCTGTCCTTGCTCACCTTAGGGACTGGCTGAGAAGGGGAAGACTGGAGTTGCCACTGCTCTGTGCTGATCCCCATCTGTGGCACCCCCCTCATCCCACCCCGGCTCTCTCCTCAGGTGGCAGACCCAAGGGGACCATGGACCCCTTCTACTACGGTAAGCCAGATGGCCCCTGCTCCCAACTCCTCCCCCCGAGCCCTGCAGCTCTCTCAGCCCTGGGTCCATGCCACGTGCCCCTTCCTTGCTCCTCTGTCACCATGGCTGTGGAAGGGCCACCCACACCACCTTTCCTGCCCTCTCTTTTCCAAGACTATGAGACCATCCGCAAAGGAGGCCTGATCTTCGCTGCCCTGGCCTTCGTCGTGGGTCTTCTCATCCTCCTCAGTGAGTGGGGAAGGGGGAGCTGGCTGGGGCAATCTCTTCTCGAAGGCACTGAGTTTGGTGACTTTCATGTCCCCAGGGGAGGAGAGTCTTTGGTCTCACCCACACCCCCTGGCTGCCCCATAGGCACCCCTGCCTCTTGTACACCCTCTAATGGCCCCAGTAGGAGCAGCTGAGAGCAGAGAGCCACTCTTCTGGGAGCTGGGACCCTGTAGGGGAAACCCCAGGCCAGGGGAGCAGGCACTGCAATACCGCAACCCAGATCTGGGCACTTTCTGAGCCACACCTCAGCCCACGTTAGCCCAGATAACCCTCTCAGGTCCACTGCAGGGTGCCACCACTGTCAGCATTTGAGAAGTGGGAAATCAGACTCAGCTTGAGAGGTGCCACAGCCCACAAGAAGCTGAGCTCAGGTGTGTCTAACCCCTGCTGTTAGAAGGCAAACATGGGCTCCACCACTAACTTACCATGGACCCTGGACTCCCAGGGCCTCAGTTCGCTCATCTGTTAAATGGGTGATCCTAGCCACCTTTAAGCTTAGGGCTAGCATCCAGAGATGACAGTAATGGCAAAGAAAAGATCCGGTGTGGACGCAAAGGGTTCTGGGGAAGAAAAGGGTCCTTATATATCTTCCAGCCCTGGCATGCACGCAGCAGGGACTTAATAAATGTTTTTGTTCAACCCAAAGAAAAGTACTAGAAACACGATCAGTGAAAGATGCTCTGTGTAGCAAGCACCTGTGTTCTTGAATTCTGACACTTGTGGCCACTGTCTCTCCCTCTGGGGACTTTGGTCTCCAGTGGGACTCGTCTCCCCTGCCTGCCTGGAGGGCCAAGCTGTCAAAGTTGAGCACTCGGGTGTGGGAGGCAGACGAGCTAAGCAGGAGTCCCAGCTTCAGAGTTACTACCTTCCTCCCCCAAGTGCATACTGGACAGCTACTACATGCCCAGCTCTGGGCTGGGGACCTCATGTGTCCTGGTCACAGCTGCCATTCTCAATACACTCACAGTCCACTGTAGAGCTACTACAGTGAGTGTTTGTTGATTGACTTACTGACTGACAGAAGCTCCTGAATGTTCTAGCCCTCTGGTGTGGGGTGGGGCAAGGAGAGAGAGGGAGAGAGAAACATCAAATGTGGCCTCCAAGCTAGACACTCTGGTGGTACTGCAGAAGGGGGATAGGAGAGACTGGAAGGACTGAGCCTTCCAGAGTCTCCTTGGGAAATGAAAGGTCAATAAAAATGAAACTTCCTTTCTCTTTTCAAGGCAAAAGATTCCGCTGCGGGGGCAGTAAGAAACACCGGTGAGTGCTGGTGGGGAAACTGAGGCCACGGGTGGGCTGGAAGGGAAGGGCAGAATTTCCCTTCCCACTGACCTCGTCTGTTCCTCCCCCTCCTAGGCAGGTCAGCGAAGATGAGCTGTGACAACAGGTACATTCTGGGGGGAGGGACAGGAGGGGTGGGCAGGGCAACAGATCGACAAGCTGAGAGGAGCTGCGGGTCATCCAGGGTCAGCCAGGTGGGCTGTCTGCATCATGTGTTTAAAGATGGCGGTGGTGCCTGGCATGGACAGCGTGCCATAGCGAGGCCATGGGGGGCACAGAGAAAAACCCAACAGAGAGGAAGCAGAACGCCCAACCTTGGCCACCACCTTCCCAGCCCAGATCCCACCATTGCCTTTCCAGAGCCAGCTGTGCCCACCAGTGCCTGGACGCCTCGTCTTCCCTGGCCTGTAGACATTGCCCCCAGCACAACCTGCACACTAAAGGAAGCTGAAGGAAGCACCATGTGACCCCCTGTGTGGGCATCACCTCTTCCTGCCTCTTGCTCCTCTCACAGTTCTTCCCTCTCCTGTCTCCTGTAATCACCCCACCTTCTCCAATTGAAGTACAAACACAGCCTGGTCTCCTTTGTTTTCAATTAACTGCTTAGGCACCTGATCTGCGAATTCAGGGTTGTATCTGAATTGACAGAGCCTCGGGGACGGAGGCCTCAGCCTGGCTTCTGAATGCCTGGCAGAAGTCTGAAAGTCCACAGGTTCAAGATTGGTGAGGCAGTTCGGTGCTGCTAAGGCGTCCGTCCTGGGCACTGGTGCCAGGAGGCTTCCACGTGACAGCTGCTGGGAGCTGCTCACGTAGCTGTTTGTGGCCACATTCGTCCCAAGTGCACCACTGGCCAGGGCGGCTTTGTCTGTGGGGCTTGGTGTTGGGCCTCGGCATATACTCTCACTTCCCCTCTCCACCGATCCTGGTGCTAATCTTAGGCCACCCCTCTTGAGGGGCCAGGAGACCATGGATGGACCCACTCCCACCCACTGGGTAGGTGCTGGCTTGGTCCCTTCCAGGTCCAGGGTCCCAGAGTGAGCAGTGAGAGTGGCACCATTAGTATCCCACTCGGGCAGCCTCAGCCAGACATGGTGATGCCAAATCCTCAAACCTCTGGCTCCGGGACTTGCAGAACGCCCCACTCCGGGATCTTTCATACTCAGAACGAAGTCTGGCTTCCCACCAAGTTTTCCAAGAAGATTGAAGGTGCCTCAGGGGTCTGGTCTGTAAGCGTACCAGCAGGAAGGTGAGAGTGGACATTTAAAGAATCAGGACCAGCATCAGGGTGGACCATGTTCCCTTGGGATTCAGCTCTTTGTCCTTAACCTACTGCCTCCAGTCCCTAATGGCCGCCAACCTGCCTGCAACACACAGGGCTTAAGCAGGGACATTGCTTCAGCAAAATAGACCATCTTCATTTATAGACGGGTAAACTGAGGTCTCAAGAGGGGCAGTGACTTGTCCAGGGTGAGAGGAGTAGCCTGTCAGGGCTCTTCCTGCCACATGAACATCTGGATTGAGAGTGGGCTCCTCACTGCCTGCCTGTGTGCTTGGACAGCTAAAGGAAGAGAGAATCTTGGGGAGGGGGGTGGCTGCAGGGCAGGAAAAGCTCTGGAGGAGACCAGCAGCATGCAGGGGAAAGCCTGGCTACTCAGCTCAACACCACACTGATGACGAAATATGAAAGTCACACCTTAAGGAGAATTCAGTATTACCATACAGGAGATCAGCGTGCAATTGAGAGCCCAGGTGAGCGTGGGAGAACTGAGCAGGAATGGAACAGGGCTGGCCAGGGTCTTTGGGGAGGAGGTAAGCTCTGGAAACTTCCTGGATGCAGCCACAAGGCAAATGGAAGAGATATTCCAGGCCTGTAACTTACCTGGGGATTAGTAAGAGCAGGGAGGAGGAGTCCTGCTTCTAGGATATTCTATTCACTGGCCCATGGAGCCTGAAGCACTGAGAGGGAATTCTGGGTGCTCTGGAGGGGAAACAGTCCTGGGTGAGTTACTTCCTCCCCTCTCTCTCTGCTGTAAGGGCTCGTCCTTTAAACCCCAGATACCCAGGATACCCTCCAGACCTACTGGATGTGAAGTTTGAGTCTATGTCTTGCTGTCTGGTCAGCGCTCTCTCTCTCTCTCTCTCTCTCTCTCTCTGTCTCTCTCTCTTTCTCTTGCCCCCTGGTAGTGGTACTGGGGTTTGAACTCAGGGCCTCACACTTGCTAGGCAGGTGCTCTACAATTTGAGCCACTCCTCCAGGCCCTTTTTGTGTTGGATATTTTCAAGTTTGGATCTCAAGAACTATTTGCCAGGGCTGGTTTCGAACCATAATCCTCCTGATCTCTGCTTCTTGAGAGGCTAGGATTACAAGCGAGAACCACCAGTGCCCAGCTGGTCAGGTCTCTTGTGAACATTTCCCTGCCCTCTCCAGGCAGGTCACATGCTCCGGAAGTTGCTGAACTTTCACTTCACTTTGGGATTTCCAGTTACAAAGAACAACTGAGTCTGGGAAGTGTTTGGGCGGAACTACTGTTAGTCAGACACAACCCCTACCTAAGGGTGTCATTCCTCTTACCACCACGAGAGGGAGCTCATGACCTATTTGGAATCCTTTCCATCTTTGCAGCGCCTTTCCAGGCTAGGGCTCCTGAGTGATCTGCCCCGTCCCAATCTCCTAGGACAGCCCTGAGATCTTCTCATCCTTTCACCCTCCCAATATTCTCCCCCCACACACACCAGGAATAACTCTTGTCCTGCTCTGGAATAATTCTCACTCTTTCCAGAGGCATAGACTATATGTGATCTGCATTTTCATGGAAGCCTGGGGGGAACCATGTAACCTGGAACCCCCAAATCATGAGCAGGACCCTGAGGGGGCAGAATCGTGGAGAGAGGACATTGGTGTGGGAAGGAAGAGGTGGATCGTCTGAGTGGCTCTTCTCAACATCAGCTGTGGATTCTTACAGAATCAACCCAGGCATTGTGGTTTTCAAGCCTCCTCAGGTGACTTTAATAGGGAGTCAGAGCCCCAAGTCACTGCCTGGTGGGTGGGTGTGGCCAGGTGGGGCAAGGAGAGTGGTAGGCAGGGAGGACTGAAGAGGGCCCAAGGGAAACTATTTGTTCCAAGACCTGGGGAGGAGCAGAGAGGTCACCCTGTCCCAGCAGGGTGCAAAGGCTAAAAGATCCTGGTTGGTGGGGCCAGGGTGTCTGCCTGACCTGCTAGGCGTGAACAACTTCCATTCCTTAATAGCATCATCAGACAGGAAGAGTGGGGCGTGAGACCCAGTGTGGCAGTCTGGGCAGGGGTTACTGGGAAGCCCATTGCACTGTCCCCATGTTAAGGTGCCCACTGCCCAGCCTCACCCAGTCTCTGCAAACCCCCAGGGGAGGCCAGGAGCCAGATAGGATGAGTCTAACTGGAGTCTCTGGCTGGGTGGCTTGGGCAGGGTCTTTTCCTGCCTGGCCTTGGCTTCACCATCAGAGCCTGAATGGGACTGGAGGCAATTTCCTGCCCAGAGTGTGATACCCCTGGCATGGACCTTCACACCCCTACTCCAGCAGTCCTGAACTCTCCCCTATTCAGCAAGGAAGGGCTGTCCCAGAGACTTGCCTGGATTAGCTCCACTAGTCCTGCCTCTACCAAGGTAGGGGCTGTCTGGGCAGATGGTGGGTTCCAGGGCAGAGGGGCATTGAGCCTCCCCCAGGCTTCCTTCTCTTCCCCACTGGCTCCCAGGCAGTTGCTGGGGAGGTAAATCACCTCCTCATAAATTGATCGACAGCACCAGGTGACTGAGCTCTGGACTGCAGTCCAGCTGTGGCCTCTGGGGCTCTGGTAACCTGCTTCCCAACACATGCCCATTCTTCATCAGCCACCTGACAGCTGCCTATCCAGGGGACAGCAGAGGGAAGCTGGACCAGCCTGGGCCTCACAGCCAGCACTATAGCAGCCACAGTCTGGGTGCTAGGAGGGCAGCACTGAGCTGGGATGGGGGTCGGGGGCAGTGCAAGTGTCCCAGTCTTGGAAGAAGCTCCTGGTGGGACTCTGTGCCCCTCCCTGGATGCTGCAGATGGAGCATCCCAGACTGGGATACTTGACATTATTTGCAGTGGAGCCATTGAGGGCTTGGGAAGAAATCCCATTCAGAACTTTGAACCTTAGAGCCCAGGGTTTCTGCTGGACACTGAAGGGACAAAGCAGGTGACACCCAGATGGAGTGCAGGGCCCCCAGGGCGTGGGTGGGCCTCATGCTGGAAGGCTGTGCTGTGGCTGCAGCTCCTGACCTCGCTGGAGCAGATATTTCTCAGGACCTCCCGGGGGCTGTCTGCTGACTCCCCTAGTCCCTCACTCCAGAGGCCTCAGTCGCCTCTGGCTGCTGCCGATCTCTAGGTCATTCAATTTGGTTCCCTTTTGAGAAATTCTCACTTTCACTTCCCCAAGGGGCTTCTTTGGTAGCCACAAGAGGAATTCCCCAGGTGAGTGCGGCAAGAGGGAGGTAGGAGAAGGGGAGTTCCCCACTAGAAGGGCAGTTCATGGCCTCAGAACTGTGGGGAATGAAAGCTGGTATACTGGCAGCTTTGTCTCGGGCTTTCTGTGTGACCTTGGGAAGGTCCTTGTCTGTCTCTGGACTTGGGTTTGGAAAAAACAAAATTCTAAGCTTCAGCTTAAAACTCAAGAGACTGGGACTTTTAAGGGGAAGAGGGAAGTAGGGGAGCCATGGATAAGCCCCTCGTTTCCTTCTGTCCCCAGGACAGCTGTCCTTAGAGTAAAGCTGAGTACACACACTCACAAATTTCCAGCTGCTAGGAAAACAGAGGCCTAGGCAAGTGAGGCGGGCAGACACAGAGACACCTGGCAAAGCAGAGGGGGCTGGCAGAGCTGAACCAGGAGCACGGTGAATTGTCTTGATACTCCCTGAAAGGCCTGACAACCAGTAACTGAGTGCTTGCCCAACACAGCAGCCTGGAACGCAATGTCCTCTGCACTGAAGAGAAGGTATTTCAGGTCTCGTGTGTGCAGACAAATGCTCTCTATGAAGGGAGTTAAGTCATTCAGGAGAGGCCTGAGCCCTTAGACACTGCCTGGGGCAGGAGTGGGAGGGCCAGGCTGGGCCTTGGATGATCCAGGACCCTTCCCGACCATTCTCCCAGCACCTTGGGGGCCTGGCAAGGGACCTTGTGTCTTCCTGGGTTCCTGCTTACAAGCCTCTCCAAGTGCATCTGACAGGTCACTCATCCACCCCCAGTGTCTAACCCCAGCCCAGGCACAGAGTTTGTGCTCTGTCATGTTTGAATGACTGCACATCAGGCTGCCTAGAGGAATGATGAATGAATGGTGAGTGGCTGCCAACTGCTGTGCTGGGACGAAGGAGACCTGCTGCATGTGTGATAGTTGCCAGTGTGTGCGTTTACCTGAGGTGGGATCTTTAAGTCTTTCTTGGTGACAGCCCTCATGTCTTCCTTTGCATCACAGTTAAGGTCACAGACTTGGGAACCAGTAGACCTGGGTTTGAACCCTGGCTTGGACAATTACGAACTATGTGATGATGGGCAAGACCCCTGACCCTCAGTTTCTCCAAGTGGAACTTCTCCACTGGATGCCAGCGCTCAGGGGACATCACTTTAACGCTAACATTGGATGCTGCTCGCGCTCTTGGGCCCTGCCAAGCATTGAGGCTCCTTCCCCTCAATACTTTAGTGTTTGGGAAATTTCTGTTCACAGCATTCTTTTCAGGACATGGTGTTCAGACAGGACAAAGAGGCAGAGGTGCCTGAATCCACCCTCAGACAGCCAGCTCCCAGGGACAGCAATCACGGGCCCCATTCACACATCCTCAGTGCCCTTTGAGCCAAGGTATAGATTTGGCCTGACCACGATGAATGTTGGGGGCATTCCCAACCCCTAGGCCCTCTCCCTGGACACGGGGAGGGGTAGTCAATGGCTGCTGTGCGGGGACTAGGAAGGGGCGTGAAAAATTTCTCAATTACACATCCCTCTTTGTGTGTGTCGAGCGTGTGTTTGTGAGTGTGTAAGTAAACGTGTGTTTCTAGTTGTGTTGGAAGTGGGGAGGAGCAGAGCAACCTGGGAAGGAGAGAGGGCCTGAGTTGGAGGAAGCTGTTTGTCCTTCTGGTAAGTCTTAGAGTCTGACATGGACGTGGGAGTGGGGGGCAGCCGAGAGCTCAGGTGTCAGCCTCACATGTGAGACATGATTCGGGGTGCCAGGCAGGGCCTCTATGGCTGAGAACCAAGATGGCTGCCTCTGTGGTGCTGCACAGGAGACTTTGACTCCTTTATTCCACCCTGTGGCACTAGAGGGAGGCACACAACCAGCTTCCCTGAGTGGAGGCTAGGCAAGACTGGCCAAGGATCGCACACCCAGAAGGGACCAAGGGGGCTGGATGTCCTTCCCAGAGAGCAGAGCCACCCCAGGGGGCCAGGCAGAGCAGGGGAGGCACTGCCCCTCCCAGACTGCCCTTTCTGGGAAGAGCAGATGTGACAGTGCACCTTCTGGGCCACTCTGAGCTGTATAGGACTCTCTGACCCTGGTCACTGGACAGACTCCTCAGGTCCGCACTTCCCGATCTGAGGCACTGGCCAGCAGGTCTGGAAGACCCATTCTCTTCTAGCATCTCTGTTCCAACTCTCACACCTCATAGTGACAAGAATGTGAAGCAGGAATAGTGCAGACATGGGGGTGGGGGACATGACACAGACAACCGAGCAGCACCAAGCAAGTCCTTCTGCATCTCTGAACCTCAGTCTCATTGTAAAATGGGGATTAAAGTCCCCATAATTAAGGAGGTTGAATGGAGTCATGTGTATAAACAAGACACTTAAAGTGCTATGAAAACACAGAGTGGAATTGATGTTAATCCGGGCTTCCCCTGGGTTCAGCAATTGCTTGTTTTTCAGACATTCATTCTGCAAGTTTTTACTGAGTATTTGAGAACAGGGCATGTGCCAGGTACTGATAGGAGTTTTGACAGCTGGAGTGGAGACTGTCTATGAAACGACAGAGCAGAAACCCACAGAGGGTCCTCTAGTGTCAAAGCCACTCCAAGCTCCAGGGGAGGCTACTTGCACCCACATACCTGCAGCCTGAGTGCTCTCCTCGTCTCCCCCACTGTGTGTGTGTAGTTGTATAGTTGAGTTCACAAACCATTGGTCTAGGTGGATCCCTTCATTGAAGAGCAGAATCTGAGACCCAGAGAGACGTTCTCAGAGGACAGCAATCTCCTGCCAGGGCCTACAGAACACCTGTGCTTTTCTGTTTTCCCAGAGGGGCAAGGACAGCCACAGTCTTGTGTCTCTTCCCTGATGTTTCTCAGCCTAGTGCCCGGAACGTGCAGTCAAGAGATTCAAGATGGAGTCCCAGGTTTTTTCTTTAGTGGCCAATGGTCTTTGTCAGGTCACTTGCTTTCTGAAGTCTTGATTTTCCCATCTATAAAATGCAGCTGTTGATGCTCGCCTGGCGGTAGGATCTCATGTGAGCATCCTCAGAACTCCACTTTGAAACTCTGAGTACAGCCAGACTCAGATTGACTTTTCTAAGGAGGAAACTTACAGGCCGAATTTTCCTCCACTTCCTCCAAGTTCAACTGCATTTGCTATTGAGAGGTATCTCACTGGAGTGTCCCACCTGGCCCAAAGGTCTCTGGCGCTCAGTCTTTGGGCGACACCTGCTGGCTATGATTGGTACTGCTTCCTCTTCTAGCCAAACTGCTGAGGGAACTTGGCCATTCTCAATGCCATTGAAAGATAGGTGTTATAGCCCCATTCTACAGATGCAGAAAGTGAGTCACAATCCTCCAGCTCCTGAGAGATGCAGCATATCTAACTCCAGAGGCTTCATCCTGAAGCAGGAAGTGGGCTTAGGGGCATGGCCAGGTGTGGGTCCAGGACCAGCTTTTCCAGAAAGACTTGACCTTATGGTAATAACCTCACTAGGTAGAGGACCATCACATACTGTTGTTCCCTGTCTCCAGAGGAGCTATAGAGAGACTCAGGAGGTCATTTGGCCAGGCTGGGAGGTGACAACTTGGGGATGGGATCAGCTTGTCTCACAGGCTCAGCTGTGCAGGGCAGTGGCTAGCCTGAGCTCTGGGGTGTGTGTGGTGGGGAGGGGAGGAGTAAGACAGGAGTGTCCCTGGCCCAGGGTACTTCTCAGTCAGGAGGGCACAAGGTATTCATTAAGAATAAAGATTTCAGCTGGTGGCTCACACCTGTAACCCTAGCTACTTGGGAGGCTGAGATGGAAAGGATTGTGGTTCAAGGCCAGCCCAGGCAAATAGTTTGTGAGACCCCCCCATCTCCAAAATAACCAGAGCAAAATGGACTGGAGGTGTGACTCAAGCAGTAGAACACCTGCTTTGCAAACATGAAGCCCTGAGTTCAAGCCACAGTCCTACCAAAAGAAAAAAAGGATTTGACCTTATCTTTTTAGACACTATGGATCTTACATAATGCATGCTTCAAAAATATCCACGATGGTTGGAATGGTGAGGGGTTTCATTGGTCAAACCAGACTGACCATGAGTCAATAGCTGCTCCAGCTGTGAAATGGGTGTGGACAACCCATTGTGCTATTCCCCCACATTTGTGTATGTAAAGCTAACAGCGAACACTGCCTCTACCACCACCAGCCAGGCAAAGAACGACTCTGAAGTCCGACTTCCCTGCTCAAAGCTCGGTGTCCGATGCTCACTGGCTAGGTGAGTTGGACAAGTTAACTCATGCCTCAGTCTCATCACCTGTAAAGTGGGAATGGTAATAAAGGGAAGCTTTGAGGGTTAACACAGATTGTGATCTAACGTGTTTAGCGTGCACTCAGTAATAATTATCACTGTGTCAGGTGTCTGGGGCTCTGGTTAAAATCTGCCACAAGAATTGGCAAATAATGAAGACAAATAATTGGCTGCTCCAGTTCAGCTCCAAGATTCTAACTGCAGTGTCTTTGAAGACACTGTCCTAAAGTGCCACGTGCTCTGTGTGACGTTGTCTCCAATGGGTAGATACACACCACAGAACCAGGCTGTCCTGAAACCCCACAGAAAGGCCCCTTCTTGGTGCCACTGTGTCTTTCTTCCCACCACTCTGACAACCCTGGGCCTTCCCATTGCTCCAGCCCAGCTTATATCCTATCTTAGTTTTCCCTGACCACCCCTTTCTCTGAGTTTAAGCAGCTATTTCACAGTTTGGACAAACTTCAGGTCTAAATGAGATTTTTAAAAAGTCATCTAACACAACCACACCATCATAGCTTCATTTAACAAACACTACTGAAGGTCCACTTGGGAGCTGGCCCTTTCCTGGATGCTGAGGTTGGAGGAGAGAGAGGGGCAGGCACAGCAAGTGGACAAGAAACTGAGGGCAGCACAGCACCACCTCAGGACATAAGCACCACTGTAGACTGAGCACAGGCCTGGCGGTCAAGGTCCCTGCCTCTGTCACTCACAGGTCATGTTTTCTGCAATGGTCTGCAGTAGCCAGGCACTGTTCCCCCTGTGCTGACCTTTTGACTGTGACTTCTGGGCCTCTCTCTCCTCCCCACTGCAGGGTGGCCCCGGACAGCAGGGATTCTGTTGGGTTTTCCTGGGATGGACCAGAGCTTTGCCTGGGGGCTGGGAACAGACTTATTAAAAGAATGAATAACCCCAGAGGTGTCCTTCCCTTGGGTGGCTTGTGCAAAAGGACAGAAGTTTTAAACCAGGAGAAATGGATCACCCCCCACCCACCCCCCGCCAAGCCTCGTATTGTGCCCACCACTTAGAGAGGCCGGCACGACCACCTGCCCATTCCAGGCTCTGGGGAGGCAGGCCCGTGGTCAAAGAAAGCTATGTACATTCAGTCACTCTGGGGTTTTCCAAACTCTTTTGACCATAATTCCATTTTGCCTGTCACCTGTCACCTTCTCCTGCAGCACTTGGGAAATGCCATGTCAGATCTTTCCACTTTTCAGCTGGGTTTGTTAAAAATGGGGCAAGTTTGCTAAAGATACAGTGTCCACTGCCACTGTGGCCTGAGATCGGGCAGTTCCTCACTGCTGCGTCCTCTCCCTGGAACTCTGCCTCCCCATGGGGGCTGAGCTAGGCTGTCAGGCACCATTCCCAGTCTCCCCCAGTATGTGCAAGTGGTGCCACTTGACCCAGGCGGCACCTCACCTCCTACCATTCAGAAATTGGTGCATGGGATCATGTCCCTTCCCAAATAAGCTACATCAGGGTTAAAGGGCTGTGGAGATAGGTTCAAAGGCAGTTCATGGGAAAGTGGCCCAGGTTCACTGGCATGTCAGCCCTAAAAGCCAATAGAATGGGCAACATTTAGAGCCCATTAGAGCAGGTGGGTATTTCCTATACTCTGCAAGGACCTCATCCAAAGTTTTGGTTGGATCTGTTCTAAGAGATATTGTTAGCTGGGTGTGGTGGTACACGCCTGTAATCCCAGCACTTGGAAGACTAAGATAGGTGGATACTGGATACTGTATTTGAGGCCAGCCTGGGCTACATAGCAAGATATGAGAGACAGAGACAGAGAGAGAGAGAGAGAGAGAGAGAGAGAGAGAGAGAGAGACAGAGAGACAGAGACTGGCAAAAAAGGGAAACCAGCATATTGAAAGGTCTTGAAATTAAGTCAGAAAAGGGGATGCTAACAGAAATGGGAGGTTTAGGTTTAGGGCAGCAAAAACCAAGCACCCCTCCCGCCCTCCACCCCCACTCCCCCGTAGCTCTTCTCAACTCTGCGCAAAGCTGTCACCTGGCAGAGATGGGCACACCCCATGGCTCTAGAGTGCTGATGCAGATTTTGGGTCATAGGTAATAAAATTGGGAAACTTCTGTGTGGGGAGAGAGCCCCTGAGCACTGGTGACATTTCATCAGAGACTGAGACAGCACCAATCTGTGGTGTAGAGAGAGCCCAGGGGTTAACTGAGGTCAGGTGTGGCCCCAAGTGGGCTGGTGCTCCCCACACTCTGCAGACAACGTCTTTGCTCACCTTTGCTGTCCCAAGCAACATGCCACACTCACCTCCAGTGCACTCCTGGCTCTGTGACTTTGACCTCCAGCAGGTGGGACTTCCTGGCTGAATGCTTTTCTTGCTCAGAATGGCTGGAGGGACTTATTGGTGGTGTCTTCTAAGGACTTGGCTTTAAGAAGTGACTCACTCAGTCCTCCCTGCTGGCAGCCAGCTGGTCACAGTGACAGGAGGACATTGTCCCACAGAGACTGTAGAGGGGATTAGGGAGGCAGGAAGCTGACTTCCATCCTGAGACCCTCCGGGGTGTGAGCTGACAAGTCAAACCCGTGGGGAAAGATTTTCTAGAAAGAGGACTTGTCCCATCCAAGCCAAGGTCACTGCCATGGGCTGGGCCTTGACTTCCTTTCCACTGTGGAGGAACTCTTCAATAGTAAGTACCACAGCACTTCTAGGTACCTTGGGTGTGCACAGCGCTGTCCAAACATTCGTTTCCATACAGACCGAAGAGGCAAGGGAGGGCCTGGCTGGAATCCAGAATCTTCTCCCGCCCAGCTGTGTACCACGGGACCTGAGGGCAGATTTAGGATTTGTAGGGCCTGCAGCTTAGATTATCTGGGGGAGGGAAACCTCGCTAGTGAAAACAACACAAAGTCGTGGGTACAAAATTATGTACAAATGTGATTAATAGTTTAGAATGGTAACAATTCCAACAAATTACAAGTCATGAAAAAAACCTGACAAATAGCATAAATATAAAATCTGATCAAATAACAGTATTTGCATTCACTAACTTCCTGACACATCTGTACAATTTATTTATTTATTTATTTTTTGCTTGCTAGGCAAGCCCTCTACCACTTGAACCATGCCCCAGCCCTTTTTTTTACTTTAGTTATTTTTGGGATAGGGTTTGAGTTTTTGCCTGGACCTCCTTCTTATGCCTCCTATGTAGCTGAGATGGCAGGTGTGTGCCATCATGCCCAGATTATTAGTTGAGATGGGGTTTTGCTAACTTTTTGCCCGGACTGGTTTTGAACTTCTACTCTCCCAATCTCTGCCTCCCAAGTAGCTGAGATTATAGGGATAAACTACTGAACCTGGCTACACAGTTCACAGTTCGTTTCTTTTTTTAATGTTACTTCTGCTCATAGTTTTACAGACTGGCTTCTGGTTTTATATCTTGTCTCTTCTCCCTACACATACACTCTGTTGCAAGCAGCCCAGTCACAGACATACTGTGATTTAACTTCTGACCCTGCAACTCCAGGTTACAAAGCCAGGTGAGCTGGCCCAGCAGTGCAAGAAGTATTCCTGCAAGCTCTCTCTCATGGGATGTGTGCACATGCTGCCTGAGCACTGCACAGATACATCCCACCAACCCTGAGCCTGAGTCAGACGCCCCAAGGCCCTCAGACTCCCTGTCATGTCAGGGTAGAAGAGAGGAGCAGCCGCGCTAACTAAAGTTAACCTGGGTGATTCTACACATTTTCCAAGGAAACCAGACCACCCGAACACTCCTGGGCTGAAAGGGCCCTGAGCCTGAGCTGCATCAGCTCTGTGGTGAAGCAGCCTCTGAGCCCATTACAAGTCTCTCTCAGCATAGATTGCTTCATTTTGTATAGTGAGCAAAACAATTCTGGCCCTTTCTGTCCCTATTAGGTGAAGAAATGATGATGAAAGAAAATACCAAGCACATAGAACCCTAAAAGTGCCACTGGACAAGGGTCATGAAGACGACAGTGATGCAGGCTGAACCATCGTTTGCCAAGACTTCTTCAGCTTTGGGGATCAGTATGTCTGTGATTCCAGTACTCTGTCAAGAGGTCACCCCTGGGGGCCAGAAACTCCTATATGAGAACCTCAAAGCTTAAGGCTTTGACTCCAGTGAAATAACACTATCATGCCCTTGGGAGGGCATGACACAGGAAGCTGAAATCCAGTGCTTGCCAGCCGGAGAGAGAGCCCAACTGGCATGAAATCAACATTTATGGAGTGGTCTCCTAGTGCAAGGAGGGACCCAGCCAGGGCTGGGAGGCACAGTGAGAAGGGTTAGTAGATTAGTGTCTGTAAGAGGAGATGAATCAGACATGTGTAAATAGCCACCATTCAAGACAAAGGGATGGGTGCCACAGCCACTGGACATCTGGGGCAGCCAGAGCCCAGAGGAGGACTGGCAGGGAGATTGGTGTGTCTGACCAGGCCTTGCTAAAGGAGAGGTGGAGAAGGGTGCCTGGGGCCTGGAGAAAGAAGGAATGAAAAAGAGACACAGAGGGTTCTCAGTGCAGAAGCTACTTAAGTAAAACTGGATGAAAATATTCACCAGTGTCTTGTGGACCAGAGAATTGCAGGACAGCTTGGGAAGCCAAAACTCACTGGATTTCCCTTTTATTCTTCATTCTGTCTCTCTTATTTTGGATACCTTCCACCCCACTCCCAGACCCGACCCTAAAGAGGAACGTGACAATGAGGTTCAGCCCTGTTGAATTTAAACTTCATAGAAGCACCTGGGCTGGCCTCTCAGCCAGTTTCAGAGCTGGGAGCTGACAGAGTACTGGAAGAGAGGTGAAGCTTACGAAAGGCCTATAGCCTCACTGGGGGCTTCCATGGCCCAGGACCAACCTTCCTGGGGTCACTGCTGAGACAGGGCGTAAACAAAGGGAGGGAGACTTGGAGACCCCATCCAAGGGGAAGGAATTTGAATGACACTATCCTTTTGTACAGGCATCTTGAGATCTAATGATTCAGCCTGTCTCAAGAAGGTAGAAGTATTTTGGATTATAATTATACATTTGAAGCAAAAATGTTCCTTTTGTGTGAGGCTTGTGTGTATGTGTGTGTGTGTGCTTGTTTATTTCTGAGTATCTGTTTCCAAGTTTGTAATTCTATTTTTTTGCCTACATTAGCCAGCACACACACACACACACACACACACACACACACACACACGCTTATGTTGGGTAGTCTGGGGGATTAATGTATGTTCATCTCATCCTTCATTGCAGGAAGGGAGCTTGGTGCTCACTATAGCCCAACCCTCTTACTTTCCTGGTGGAGAAACCAAGGTCCAGAATGGCAAAGTGATTTGTCCAAGATCACACAACTGGCTATGATGACTGAGTCAACAAGAGAACCTAGGACTTCTGATTCTTAGTTCAGCACTCTTTCTATAACATTGAAATCAATTACAAACAGGAAAAAAGGCAGGAAAATCTTTGGGTTTTTTCTCTCCCAATCAATGAATAAGTACCAAGGTCAATCTCAAATTAGCTACATAACCCCAAATGCTAAGTTTTGAAGATTAACCTGGTTCAGTATTGATTCCTTTCATGAAAACCACATTCATACTGAAGCTGTCGAAGAGTTTCAGAGCATATATGAAGGCTTTGCTAAAATAATTGTATGCCTTTGTTTTTTATAGAAAAATATCCAAAATACATAAGCCCATTGTTCGAGCTAAACAATAAAAACATCTGTTGTTTCTCACGATGGCTCTAGTCTTAATATAACACGGCAAAATAATACCTCCTAAATATCCATGATTAACCTGAATTGGAGAAGGCTTGCTTTCCATGACTTCCTATAGCTGCTTCAACTGGCTTTGGTTAAAAAAAAAAAAAAGCCATCTCAATGCCCAGCGTTCTGACCGGACAAAATATTGAAAACTTATCACTGCTTGTAAATGGGATTCCCTACTAGAAATGAATCCCACAAATTTGAGGCTTTTTTTTTTTTAAATAGGTGCCAATGCAGAATTTTTGGATTGCATTCAAATTGCAGTTAAGCACAGGTGTGCCTGTCATTAAGTGTTTATGTTTACCTGTACACATGAACGTTTGCCTGGGCAACTGTGTTTGTTCTCACTCCGGTGTACATATATTTGTGTGTGGCTATGAGTTTTCCATCCGATTTAGGACTTCGAGGGAACTGGCCCTTTTATTAAAATAAAACATAACCCTTCCAAATGTCAGCTGCTGGGGGGTAGGGGTGGGGATGCACCAGGGTTGAAGGGGGAGTCTGGAGTGGAACTAGCCACTGGGCTCTCCTCCCCTGTGTTTTGTTTTCGTCTTGGGGCTGTTTCACTGGGATATTCTCCTCCCCATACAGGGGAAGAAGAGGAGAGTTTTAAACATATCTGCGTCAAGCTGTCATTTTCAAAGGTATTTTTCCTAAATACTAAGGAGACAAAATTTAGGAAGTGGAAATAGAAAAAAGCATAAGGATGCCTGTCACCAGGTCCTTCTCTTCTTAGCCCTCTCGCAGACTCTTCCAATCTCAAAGAACACCTTCTATGTTTCTGCAGCCTCTTGCCTGGACCCCCAACTCCTTCGCTCTATCCTTAACACAGCATGAGGGCAGGATGCCGTCCCCCACCCCAGCAGCTCACAAGGTCAAGGTCCTCTGAGCAAAGCCAATAACGCTAGTAATATTTACCCGTGCTTGTGATATGCCAGCCACGGGGCTTATCCTCCTTAACCCTCCGATTTTCTGTGGAAGATGCTGGACTGTTGCCCTTTACAGGTCTGCATACTCTTAATAAGGACGTTATAAAGCCTCCCTTTGCTAGAGGGAGGCCCTGAGTCTGCCCTCCCCACCTGTCTTCCCTGCTGTGTTTCTACATACATGTCTCCTCTTCAGGGGACACCCAGACTATAGCCAGTGACCTGGTGAATAACTTCATTCTTTAGGTATCACACAGCTGTGTGTAGCCAGCATTTAACAGGGACACTCAGGTTGTAGGAGACACTTCAGGTGAACGGACAAAGAAGAGTCTCCCTTTCTACCTCCACCATGGGGTGCTGGAGCCAGAGCAACCATGCTGATACCTCCAGCCCTCTCAGGCCCCGTCTCCTGCTAACAGACAGAGCCCTTTTATCCTGTCTGACTTAGTGGTTTATTTTAGGCACGGCTTGACCAGGTGCTCTGGGTCAACAGGCTTAGTTTTAAATAACTAGATTCCTCTCCATGACCTGGAAGGGTCATGATGAAAGAATGAGCCCCGCAGGCTGGGGAGGCAGCAGGCTGGGTGGCGAGGGAAGGAAGGTCAGCAGACTGGAGATGCAGGGGCTCCATCACTCCGTGTATGACCTCAGGCAGGTCCACAACTCAAGTGTCTGTGAAACAGTGTTGGGCTGGATCCTCTCAAACACCCCTCTCAGTCTGCTCTGTGTCTCTGTTCTGTGCCTGTGTTTATAGATGTCAAGCCACCTACTGAAAAGCATCTGTTTCAGATTAGCGATTTAGCAACACAGAGCTCAGCCACAAGGGAGGCAGCACAGTGTAGAGCAAGCAACAACTCCAGAGTCTAGAGGCCTGAGTTCAGGTCTTGCCTTTGATGCAAATCTCGTGACCTTGAATGAGCCAAACCTCAGTATTCTCAAATGTTTAAAAAGGGGCTGAAAAACTTCAAGGGATGTGGTGGGAGTTACTCAGAGCAATTGCAGGTGGGAGCCCTTAAAAATGCTAGATTAAAAAAAGTGAAACAAAATTACCAGATGAGCTAGCAATTGAGAGAAGGGAGGACAAAGAATATTTGTTCATTCATGTTCATAGCAGCGTTTATTAACAACAGCCAAAAGGTGGAAACAATTCAGGTATTCATTTGATGGATGACTGGATAAACAAACGTGGTATATGCATACAAAAGAATATTATTCAACCATAAAAAGGAATGAAATTCTGACACAAGCTATAACATGGATAAACCTTGGAAGCATTATATAAAGTGAAATAAGCCAGACACAACAGGACAGATGTGACAGGAGTCCACTTATTATGAGGTATTATAAGGTAATACGCAAATTCATAGAGGCAGAAAATAGATGGTGGTTTCCAGAGACTGGGGGCATGTGGGAAGGGAGTTCTTGTTTAATTGGTACAAGGTTTCTGTTTAGGATGATGAAAAAGTTCTAGAAATAGCAAGAGGTGAAAGTTGGATGCCATTGTGGCTATACTAAGTGTCATTGAGTAGTACAGTTAAAATGGTAACTTTTATACTATATGTACCTCAAATTCAAAAAGGAAAGGCACACTTTTCAAAATTTAGTTTAACAAATTCTAGAGATATTCTGACAACATCTGGAAAGGAGGAACCTGAATTTAGGCGAGACATTTTGGAGAAGTAAATTTTCTTCCTTTGTCAAATGGAACAGCAGCCTCTACCTCCTTCGATCTTCACATTCCATGGATGGAGAACCAAGTGGAAAGCGGGCCCAAGTGGAATCAAGTGGCAAGGCTGTGATCTGTCTGACCCTACACAAGGAGAGTTCAGTCCTAGCAAATAATCCATCCTCAAGGCTACCTGGACCCTTCCCTGGTTCCCGTGTAGCCCCTTATTTGGGAATTAAGACCAAAGGAGGGCTTTCCAACCACATCTTTCTAATCTTTTCACTGCAGACCTGAGTCAGCCATGCCTGGGTCCCCAGTGCCTACCCTGGGGTAGGCAGGTGCTCAGCATTCATTTGGTAACTGCTGGGATGTCCTTGTTCAAGCCCTGTTCAATGCCAACTTTGCGCAGATTAATACAAGGAATAAACCAATTTCTGCAGGGTGAGAAAAGCCATGGGTGTGGGTAGGTAAGAATAAACCATACACAGGTAGGGCAGGCATTGAGCTGTTTATTGCAAAGGATTGTTTAAATATCATACTGTGCCAAATGCTGAGGACAATTTGGACAGAGTGACTGGGGATGGGGTAGACAGAGCTGGGGCTCTGTAGTAGGCAGGCTTGCAGAAGTAACTGAAGGCTGGAAGGGTATGTGGCTTTGAGCTTTGGGATGGGTTGTCTTGAATGAGCTTAATGTAAAATTTACCCAGAGCATCCCAGCCAAGGGGGTAAACTGAGTTCAAAGACAGCAGCAAACATTGGCTCCAGGTTAACCAGGCCAGCAGAGACAGGGTGTCCTTGTCCCGTGCATGGCAGACTCTTGGCACACGTATAACACATGCCTCTGTGCGACCATAGGCTCAGAGCCGGTGGGTGACAGGGACCCCCTTGCCTCTCTGACAGCGGAGCCTCTCGTCGGGGGCTGCCTGGTCCCGGTCCCCCACCCTGCTCCTGGGCTTGTGGGGCTGGGTGCCGTCGGAGCTCCGCTCAAGCGACGCTCACCACCCGGGGTGCCGCGGGGGGAGGCGGGGAGAGCGGCCGCCTAGCCCAGCCCCGCGGATGACAGGAGCCGGGGAGCCGAGGAGGGAGGAGCCGCCGCCAAGCGCTGGGCTGAGGAGCAGAGAGAGCGGGGCGCGGAGTGCGGGCGGCTGGGAGCGCGCTGAGCGGGGGAGAGGCGCTGCCGCACGGCCGGCCACAGGACCACCTCCCCGGAGAATAGGGCCTCTTTATGGCATGTGGCTGGTAACTTTCCTCCTGCTCCTGGACTCTTTACACAAAGGTGAGACCCGCGCGGGCGGCTGGGCGGCGGAGGCAGCGAGGCCGGGGCGCGCGCGGCTGGCGGCGAGGCGGTGTGCCCGGCGGGCTCCAGGTGCCCGGGGGACCTACCGAGGTGCCTGGCCCCGGGTGGGCGCAGCGGGGTGGGGCAAGCGCCCGGAGAAGGACCGGATGAGAGTGAGCCTGGGACCACTCCACCAGTCACCCGGGTCTGCCGTTTTGGGGCGCGCCCATAGGGGTGGTGGCGAAGGAGCCCCTCATTTCCCGGATCCTCGCTCGGCCGCAGTTCAGCCCTCGACCCCTCCCCCAGCGCCTTACCCGCTTCCTTCGACTTGCTGGCGCTGGGACCCTGGGGTGCCCTCCGAGTCAGGGTCTCCAGGCCGGGACTCTTCATCCAGAAGTCCTCGCTCATTTGGGTCTCGGACCCGCGGTTTACACCTCTGTACCTCCGTGCGCCCCTCGGCCGCCCCGGACCCCCCGCCCTGGCGCGAATGCGGGCGCACCGCATGGTGCTTATCCGCGTCTGGCTGGATGCAGGGCGGGGATAGCTGGGGGTTCCGAGAGCTGGGGTCACTGGGATAGCAAGTTTGTTCTCCAAACCCAGGGGTCGCCATCCTCCAGCCCTCCCCCACTCCCCTTGCCCCAGGCGCTAGCCCCAGCTTCTCTGCGCCGCGGTGGCCACCTCTGGCAGCTCAGCGCGCCCCAAGGAACAACTCTCCGCTTCAGCGCCTGGCCTGCTGGACCCGGGGACAAGTGTCCAGGCTGGGGGGCGTGTCCGTCTCCCCGGAGAGAAAGGGTTGCTAAGGGTGGGTCCAGGTGTCCGGCATGTCCAGACCTGCTGCTAGGGCGCTGCGCACCTGATACGCGAGGTAGTAGGGACTGGGGGTGGGGGGTGTTGGAAGAGGCAGACATTTCCAACCGAAGCCACCTGGGCACCAAGTGGGAACCCGGCTAGCACCGGCTGTCGAACTTCCAGGCTGTGGCAGAGGACGTGCCCCCGGGCCCGCAGATGGCGGGAGATGAGCGGCCCAACTCCGCGCCCTTGCGCAGCAGAGCACAGACGCTCGGAGAAGCTCTGCTTTCTCTGCTCAGCCCTCTAACTTTTCTCCTTAGCGCCCTGGGGGCGGCTTCCCCCCTCTGCCCTCTTTGCCCTGGCGGTTGTCCCCGCAGAGAGGCAACTTTGACCCCGAGGCGATGGGAAAGGGCAATCAGCAGAGGACTGGCGCCCTGGAGGGGTCTAGTCCTCCTCGGAAGCCCCCAGGGGTCTGGAGTCAGCAACCTGCTGGAGCCGACTGCAATATCCAGCGGGTTGGAGGAAGAGGGGAACCCTTATTTGTAGATACCGCCGGCTCAAAGCCAGACTGATGGCCTAAACTGCTGGTGTTCCCCCGGGCTCGGGGCAAAGGGTGGTCTCATATTGCAGGCAAAGTAGTGGAGTTTCTCAGCCCCAATGGGGCTACTGGGAAACACACTAAGGCTGGTCTAGGTTCTTTACCCCCTTGCCCCCACATCTCACCCTTCATCCCACCTTAGCAGAGCTTGAAGCCTCCTGTTCAACTCCGCCCCCTCCCCCCACACCCCAGTTTTCTTTTCCCAGGGCTCTTCCTGCCTCCCTCCACCCGCACAGGCTGGTTCGGCTCACAGCTTTAATTACGTTAATATTAAAAATACATAAGGTGAGGAGCGGCTTTCTCTCTCCAAAGCTCTCTCTCCACCCCCCACTCCCTTTCCCATTTTGTCAGGCGAGAAAGCACAGGCCAGAGCTGCTGCCACACTCTGCTGCTTTGTCCCCAATCCCCCCACCTCCTTTCTGGAGCCCTCTTCCAGAACAGCCCGTTCCGGCAGTGGAAGCCCTGCCACAGAAACCTGTGCGACTCTACCCTTCCCCAACCAAGAGTCCAGCATTAATAAATGAAACCTAAGTTATTTGATAGGGAAGGAGCAGATGGGGGGTGGGGGTGGAGAAAGGCCCAGAAGGCCACAGGACAGCAGCTGGAGGGGCAGAACCCCTTCCAACTCCTGAAAGAAGTTGCCCCTGACTGGGGGCCTGAGAGTAGGCAGAAGGTGCCAGGTGTGGTGGCCCTGGGTAGTCTTTGGGTCTGCAGAGCCCTGGCGCCCCTGTGAATCAGAGGCTCCAGTGACTGTTCCGTGCCAGGGCGCCTCGCCAGACAGGCCTTTCTTTTCCTTGGTGCCTTAATTGGGTCTTAGGTGCCAGGCTGGTCCCCAGGGGCCTGTTCTGCTTGGGGTGGCTTGGTAGGTGGGTGGTGGAGGCGGCTTGGGGGAAGATCTGACATGGGGAAAACAAGAAAGATAGGGTTTGGTGTATTTTTCTCTCCCGTTGCCAGTCACCCCCGCGGCACCAAGGAAAATGTAAATGTGGATGTTTCGAGCCTGTTACAGAAAACAATATCCTCTTGCAATAATTTGTACGTCCATCTGTGAGGAGCAGGAGGAGGCAGGGAGAGAGAGAGAGAAGAAAACAGGATGAGATGGAGCGTCCTCTGGATGGAATTAAGCAGTTATTGAATGTGTTTTAAGCTTCTGTTATTTCCATTCCTCTCAAAATACCCTTTTTTGATGAAGCCTGCACTCAGCCCGATTTCCCAGAACTAAACCGGGAAGGTGTTTTAATAATCGGTTATCAAGTCTCCAATAACTGCCTTATTATTGCCAAAACAAATCCAGGTTTGGGCAGCCAGATGAACCCCAGCGAGGCTCTCTCCGTCGTTACATCCAGCGTGCCAGCATCTGTGTTGCCGCATTTGCATTTTTACTGTGTAAAAGAACAAGCTTCCCCGGCACTAAAATTCCTGTTTTCTAAAAGCCAAAATAATGGGTTGCATTGATTTTTTTTCATTTCCCACCCCAACCTCTCGGATGGGGACTCATGGTTCTTCTCTCTGGAGAAGACCAAATTAAAAGCCTTTGTCAGGCCATTAAGAAAATCTCTAACATTCTGTTCAGTGTCTAATTAAAAAGCGGGGGGATACTGGGGAAAATGGGTTTTTAAAATCTTGAAGTGGCAAGCACAACTTAGGGGAGGCAGGCGAAGGACCAGTGAACGTCCAGGGAGGGGGAGGTGGGGCAGAGAGGCCCGGCTGCTAGAATAATATGGAGAATGCAATTGCCGTGATGTCTGACAAACCTTTCTGATGCTTCGCTTTTCTGGGCATCAAAGCCAGCTGCCTTTAATATATTTCTGCAGCAGAATGAGGAGCTCAATTAGAAACAAAAAGCAAGTAAGCAGTTGACCCAAGGCAGTGCTGGAGTTGAGCAGATGCTTCAGACTGGCCGAAGGGGCTCAGTTTTCTCAGGAACAGGGAAGAGGCGGGCAAGCAAACAGGGCATTTGACCCAGTGATGGCTTGCTAAAGAAGCAATCTGGGAGCCCACAGATACAAGGTAAGAATCTGCTCAGAGCACCTTGTAGCCTGGGAGTTCTTGACAGAGGGGTGTGGAACTCAAGCCCTCTTGATTTCTCTACATCTCCTGGTCTGACTGATAAAGAATTATCTTATTTGTGGATGAGGAGAGGGGAGAGTGGGTGTTCAGAGAGCTTTATGGGGTGGGAGTACAGGTCTCAGGTTCTCCCTTCCCACATAATCTTGGAGAAGGTGTTTCTTGAGGACATTTGAAGAAGTCACAAGGAGGAGCCCCCAGTTCCCTGAAGTGCTTTCTCAGTCCCTAGTCCAGTAGATTCTAGCTGGTACCCAGGTGCCTGAATAGGGTAAACTACAAGCAGCAAAGATGGCCAGGTGCCAGGAACCCAAGGGCAGCCTCCAAATTTGCATGTAATTTGCATATGGATTTGCATACCCACCTAGCCAGGCCGAGAGCCTAGTCCTATGAGGGGCATCCTGATTTTAGCCTCAGTAGGAGCTAGGCAGTGGCTTGTTTTCTCCTTGCATGCAATGGGGGTGGGCAGGAGCTGGAGAAGGCCTGGTCTCTTTGGTAGTGTTCTGTCTTGCTTCTAGGTTTTAGGCCTGCAGAATTTACCTTCTGGCAGAACAGTCCTGCAGCTCTCACCTCCTTTACCTATGGATGGACGGTGGCATTGGGGCCATTGGTGCAGGATGGGTGGCACTGGGCAGAGATACCCTAAGGCAGAGCAAATTTGGGGTGTGGGTTGCTCTTGTCATGCTGCAGGATTCCAGGGCCAACACTAGCCTTCTGGTGATGGGATCCTAGGCTACAGAGGGCTGGATACTTAGGGCTGTGGTCAGGAGTTGGAGAGACCTTGGCAGATGGACAGGGTCCAAGAGGTGCTTTCATCCTCTGGTTCTTTAGCATCCAGCTTGGGAAGAGGTTGTGACCTCTGCAGGAAAAGTCTGGTTTCTTATTTCACCATCACTAGGGCAGCTCAGGTGTGTGGGGTGGTTCTGTTGGGGCAGTGGGGAGACAGGCACTGTGGTCACCTGGGGAGGGGTGTTGTAAAGAGTTTACAGTGATAACTTGGAGGGCAGGCACTTCAGGGGAGCTGGGTGCTTGCTTTTGGGGACCTAGTAGAATGCTTGCAGTGTGAGTGTGGCCTCAAGGATGCCCTTGTCTATATTTCCTGAACCCTGGGCAAATTCTACCTGGCAGGTTCAGCTCTAAGGCCTTCCAGAGTATTTTTCTGCACTTCTGCTGATACCAGAGCGCATGTTCCAACGGGTGTGTAGAGCTGTAAGGGGTTAGGTAGGGCCAGAGGGGATGGATGGAGGAAGAGCTTCAGCCCCTTCCTCAATTCTTCCAACCAGAGCTTTTATCCACTTTATATATTGGAGCTGTGAAAAAAACAAAGAGAGTGAAGCCTGCTGGTGTGGTGGAAATTTGGAGTCAATGCAAACCCTTCACTTACATCTTGGCTTTGCATTTACTGGGCAGGTGACTTGGGGACTCTCAGAGCCTCCCTTTCTCTAGCTATGAGATGAGAATGAGATTAAAGGAACTAATGCATAAAACGTAGCCAGAAAGGAGTTGGTGTTCAGTAAACATTAGGCCTCTTCTCTTTTCTATACTTCTT